CAACTGCTCAGCTAGCTTTTTTCATATGCAAAACAGATTTCGCACTTATCCACTAAGTTATAACACCGTATGCTCTCAATTAAGGCTCAATTTTAACACAGAAATGAACCGAAATTATTTATTTTAATGTAAATGAGAAAAAGAAAGAAGAAAAATAGACAGGTAAGTATTCTTAAACATGCAGGAAATATAATGTAGGACATCTGTATAACAATAACTGAAAGGAGTAATTTGTTTATAGAGAATCACGCTGTAGACACTCTTATTACAGCACCGCCGTTGACACTAAAGAGATGTAAAGGTATTAACACGGGAGCCGAAATCATATATTTGGTAGGTATCTCGTATCCCTGCAGAGATCGGGTAGTGTTTCGGCTGTCTTACCTGTATTCGTGCGCAGAAAGGGATATGTATGTTCCCTCGAGCTTCAGATAATCCAAGTGGACTTTACACTCCTGCCTGTGCACTCTCGCAAACACCCGCTGAAAGACACGCAGCACTGACAGAGGCGCAGACTCGCAGCTCGTCCACTCAGCTGCCGTCACAGGTGGCCCGCCCTCCCGCGACGCTTACTTATTTTTTAATTTTTTTATTTACGTTGAATCAAGAGATATCTTTGGCTTTTTATCACCGGTTATACTGCTGTTATACTGCTTCGCTATCCCATCAAACACCTCCACTTGGAGTTGCGATGCAGAGGTAAAGTGGAGGTTAAAAAGGTGGGCAACAAAAAGCAACAGAGTTCATTTTAAGTTGTGCCGTGGCTCCACACTGACACCTAGCGGACATGGAGAAAATTACACAGAGCTGAGCTGACAAGTTTTACAAGTTTACTTTTATAAGTGGCCTGCAGATTAAAAAAAAATAAATCTGGCACTTTTACAAGTGTTGGTGTTAATTGATGTGCACAGTAAATAAAATTAATATAAAATTTAAGTTATTTTGTTAGATATTTGTATTTTTGGTATTTTCACGCCCACACCCAAGTTTTGGTCCAAAGCCCCCAAGAAGAAGAGAAAAGATCTGGTGATCTCTGAGGTGATGCAGGTGGAAGAGGACTCATACAAAATCAAGGCTGTTGGCCAGCATCAAGGGAGATGGACAGCCTGGGAAGTGATACTCAACAGGCCTTTCTGTTGAGGCTGCCGGTATAGACAGCAACACATCCAGGTTCTGCATAAGCTGGCCGAAATACTGGAGGTACAAGGCTGGAGGGAAATAGCAACAGTGCAGTAACATCCCAGAGGCAGATCCATTTCATCAGGAAGGAGGATCAGGCCCACGTCAGCTCACAGTAGACACGGTCCCTAGTGTTAACGGGAGGTGAAAGCTGATCTTGGGAGTGGATCTCAACCGTGCTCTCAGGTTCCCAGAGAAAATCGCCTCTGGGAACCTTCTCTGACCAAGACTGTCATCCCGGTCATCACTTATCCTTCCTTTAAATCGAGCTTTTCACATTCCTGGTAAAAGTTGGTTGCAGAGGTTATACCAGAGCAGCACCTCTAGATCCCACAGCCAGCTGCAGGGCGTAGAAAGGAGACATCTCAACTGCTGCTCCACCACCCTGAGATGTTTCAGGGTTAAAGAAGCGAAACATCAGCAGATAGTCCGACCTGTGCTCTAATAATGACTGCAGAACTAGGAGGAATACTGACCCTAATTGAATCCCATCAACTTTTAGTGAGGAGGACTGACCTGGTTAGGTACAAGAAATGCAGTTCTGCATACATTAACATATAATCTACGAAGAAAGATGCAAAACACTGATTAGTTCAACTGAAAAGTGATTAGGTTAACGTGGCTGATTACCTCATTCAAGAATCAAATTAAATAAATTTAAAAAACAGAAAAAGGCAGGGTGGATCCATGCTGTATAAGTGCCAAAGTCTGACCATCTGAATGTTTCAGCAGAAATTGAGAATCATCAGACCAGGCATTGTTTTTCCAATCAGGACAATGGAAAAATGTTCAAAGGAGTGGCACCCTGTGTGGTCTTCTACTGCTCTAGCCCAAGCCCTCTTTTACATACCTTGGTTGTAAGGAGTGGCTGTTTCAGTCACTTGCCTTCCCATCAGCTTGAAGCAGTATGGCCTTTCTCTGACATCTGACATCAACAAGGCATTTTCACCCAGATAACTGCTGCTGTGGATATTTTCTCTTTTTCTAACCACTCTGTAAAACCCTAAAGATGGTTGAGTGGGAAAATCCCAGCAGATCAGCCCATCTGTCCCCATCAAGTGCGCCACATATAAAGTGATATAAAAAAAACCACACCTTTTCTTCCTCATTCTTCCTATACCCGCAAAATATACATGCCAAAATATATTTGATTACTGCTGTTTAGATGCATTCGATGATTATTTGCATTAATGAGCAGTTGAACAAGTGTACCTAATAAAGTGTGCATTGAGTATATGTTGTGGGTTCACCACCTTTAAAAGTTGTGTGGCTGCGCAAGATGTATATTTGCCTACTGCAGAGAACAGCATGTGTTTGAAACTAAAGATGTTCCTGCAGGTCTTTGCTACAATTGTCCTGATTAATAAATTCCTTTTTGTGTGCTACTAGAAGAGTCACATTACCCACATCCAGGCATGCAGATGCAATTGCTCCTGTGACTCCCCATCTCTTCTCTCATGCCTATAGCTTTTGGTCCCGTCCAGACCCCTGGTTAAAAATAGCATTTTTAGATGTGGTAATATTCATGGTGAGCAGGATTTCACTTCTTGTGAGAACTGAAATGCAAATGTTTTTTATACACTTAATGAAGACGTCTTTGAGGAAAACCGGTTCCTTCACTCTCCCCTGTTGCTATCCCAAGAATTGATATGCATAGGACTGTATTTAATCTAATGCACGAGCCCTGCAGGTCTTCACATAAAAACACAAAGGGCTCATTCTGCTGGACTGCAGTGATCAATTGGAGCTGAATTATGAAAGAAAACTGCAGACGCTATCTGTCATAATACACTTGTTTATACAGAAGTTTGAATGTATTATGAATGCATGCATCGATAATGGATGGAGTTTGTCATGTTCAGAGGGCACTGTTGCTGCTGAATTCAGCCATTTATCTCAACTCCTTGTTTTAATTCAGCAAGGATTTTGCACACTCTGCTCCATTAACTCCAAAGATTCAAAATGTTTAACTAAGTGTTTACAATACCAATTTAAGGTTTAGAAATATGACTTTGAATGGAAATTGCCTCACTATGTGTGGAATTTCCTTCCAGAGAGCTGCAGACAAACAGAGCAGATTTTTTTTTTTGTTTTCGTTCAACAGGTATCTTTATCTGTCATTAGCACATGCTACTTGAAGAAGCTGATGATCTGGCTGTATATTATACCATATAAGCCCATCACTGATGTATATTTTATAATAATATTTTCCACAGACATTATTGAGTTATAACTGTTAAAATGGGATTTACCAGGCACCTAAAATCCAATACTGTGGGGAAAAAATGACTCATCTCAAATTAATGACCAAAGTTGATTTGCACTTTGAGCTCTGCTGGACCTGTTCTCTTTGTGGACAGGCTGTTTGATCAGCTGAACTGTGCTGCTGCAGTGGCTTTGAAGTTTTCTTCTCTTTGTGGAATTAACTAGTTGCACTTTTCTAATGTAATGTGACAGTTTTACATGTACTGTGACAGATTTTCCAACTTTTAGCAATAAAGAAATTTAGAAAGCGAAACTGAATAGCATCATCCGTTTAAATTTGAACTGATGGCTCCTCCCTTTTGGACTGTAATAATCAGGTAACAAACATGTAATAAGCATCTCACTAGCACGTTATATAAATGCACTGTATGCTTAACATTACCTCATAAGCAGTACGTCAGCCCTGTTATTTGTTCACCATGCAGAAGAAGAAGAAATAGCACACACAGCACTTGGTACACCAACTATAATGTTCTTTCCTTGGCTCCACTCTGTTGGGACCATACGCTCGGCTCTCATTTGGAGAAAGGTGATTAAAAGGAAATGAAGTCATTATACTGCAACATTCAGTAATTTTTTTTTAACACACTGAAGTGTAATATAAGAGGGATTTCCAATGTCCCTAATGTGTTGTTACTGTTAATAATGTTTGTTTGTGCTGCTTCCACAGTAGAATAATTAATACGATATAGAACACTGTTCTCTTGTCAGTCCTAAGATGAGTCAGTACCGATGGCACACATCTGCCTTTTAGTAAGAAAATACCCAGAAAAGAAAACATCATTGGCATGGTAAAAACAAATCAGCTCTCCATACCCTCTTGCGCTTTCCTTTACATCTTTCAGACTTTCATAATGGTTTGGCTGAGCAGTGGTCAGGTTGGACTCCCTTCAGCAAGGCATTTTCATCCAGAGCAGCTGTGTTCACCGGATATTTGGACGATTCCCCAAAAATCTTAGAGATAGATGTGTGGGAAAATCCCTTTAGATCAGCAGTTTCTGAAATACTCAGATCTGCCCTTCTGGCACCAACAATCATGCCACATTCTTCCCTTCTGTCCTTTTTCTCCCCATTCTGACGCTCTGTTTCTAAATGCGTCGACTTGCTGCCATGTGATTGGCTGATTAGATAGGTAACCACTTTGTCAGGTACACCGGTTTTTGTGTGTTGATATGGATGCAAGACGGGCATGTACACAAACAGCTCCTCGTTGGCATCTTCACAAAGAATCACTAAAAAGGTCTCTGTCTCAAGTCAGCGAAAGTTACTCATCCTTCATCTATTTACCACTGCACATACTTGTGTTAACATCAGTTTCAAATCTTGTGTCGACGCTTTATAATGACTAACAGAGCCTGTAAAGACGAGAAAATCACTATGTAATGTCAACTACTGTCCAGCAGATGGCAGAGAATAACTTGTAACAAGGCCATAAGAATTTTTTTTTTCCCCCACACCGGTTACATATTTTTTTTTGTTGCGCATATAAATGTCTGGCTTAATGTTTGATTCCTTTTGATTGTAAGACACCTGAAAAGAAATTACATTAGAGCGACTTAGTACAAAGTTTTTATTGTAAATGTTTGAAATACTACAATACATATATGGTTACAATTCTGACAAAATGGCTAAGGGAAAAAAAACGTAACAAAAAAAATAAATACATCAGCACTGATTGATATGTGGTGAGCTGAGTCTAGAGATATTTCAAGCTACATCTTATTTTAATTATTTTTGCTTTTAGGAATCGATTTTACTTGGAAAAGGTTTGTGACAGCTTTGTCTTCACAGAATGGCTGTATCAAACTCATACTGCATGTTATTCTCCTGTGTCCTCAGACAGCCTCTTATGAAGTTCTGTAATAAAATAACTCCTACAGTGACATTTAGCTAACTTTTATGACAGAAACACATGTATACACATCATCTGTGGCATCTCAACCATGTGCAACTGCAGGAAAGCAGGCCAGCTTTTGAGGTGTCATTGACCACAGAACGTACAGCAAGAGATAAAGCAAACAGCTTCGGCGCTGTATCCCCCCCCCCAGCTGTTATTTCTTCTTCTAATTGTTTAGCCAGAACAGCAGTGGTCACGGCCGAAACTTTACAGCTCCAGGGCAGTTGTACAGAGGCACAGTGACTTAACACAGGCGATGACAAATACGCCCTGAAAGATTGTCACGGTAACAGAGTGTTTCAAAAGCATCATCATCACCCTCCACTCATTAACCTTATGCAACACAGAGTCCCAAGTGTGTTAGAAAATAACCAGTATTCCAGACATAAGATTTAAAAGACTACTCCAATGTGTAAAAATCACTTTCAATGTGAATAAAAAATACTGTTTGTTCCTTTTACATCCCACTGTGACGTCAGACAACATTCCAGACACTAAATACAAAAGCAGTGGAAATAAATGAAAAGAAAGCCTTTAGTGCCATAAGCACACAGTACACAGTGTGACCTGTAATTAAAAAGAAGAAAGGAAAAGAAAAAAAATAATAAGAAAGGGTGACTCCCTCTCTTTTGTCAATACAGAAAAGTGCCGGAAACATTTGATCCTTCATATTGTTTGGTCTGTCCTCATCTTATCGTCTCACAAGGTGTCCTTTTCTTCACCAGTCTATTAAAGCCTGTGTATATGTGTGTGTTCCAAGTTCTGCCAGAGTGGAAATGTGCAGGGATTCCTGTATTTTAAGCCAGCGTCCTCTGTCTTGGTTTTATTCTGGGGTAGAGCTGTAGAGGACGACACAAAAAACATATTAATAATCCACATTTTAACACCTAGAATACTAGACTGATAATACGCCGATTCATAACTCACCCCTAAGAGGTTGCGGGGAATGTAAGCCTCAGTGTCGCCCATGCGCGCCCACCACCACTCGATCTCATCTTCGTCCTCCCTGCGGACGATGGTCATGCAGTCTCCCTCGTGGAACGAGAGCTCATCAGGGTTTTCAGCAGAGTAGTCCCAAAGGGCGTAGACCACACCCCTGTTCATGATACCCATTTTTTCTTGCACGCCTGAGGAAAAATGACATTTTAAACACTGAGTTTTTGTTGAAAGAGGGAGGGGGAAAAAAAACAACATTCACAAGACAGGAAAACAATAATGGAGAGACAAAACAGCTTTTACTGACCATAGAGGAACTGAGAGCACTGGGTGTAGCCTTCTTCCATCTCTTCACATTTATCAGCTGCCGTTTGCATGTCGCTGTAAGTCATAGCAAACACTGCTGCTCCAGACTCCACCAAGAACTTGCACACTTGCACATTGTTGCAGGATGCAGCACAGTGAAGAGGTGTCCTATTTTTTTTTTTAATTGAAAAAATAAAGAAATAAATGGAAAAACAAAGAGGAGAAAATGTGAGATGTATTAGGAAAAAAGAAAAACAGTAAAGATTGCTAGAAGTACTTTAAAAATGTCCAAAAAAGCAAAAATAAAATTAATGTGCCCAGCAGCGAGCATGAACTTACCAGCCGTCACTATCAGCGGCATTAACATTGACACCAAACTGAACCAGGAACTTTACGATCTCCGTATGGCCGGCACAGACAGCGTTGTGTAGAGCAGTGATGCCTTCATCATTGGGCTGACTTGGATCTTCCACCTGTGATTCAGAAACCACGAGAAGTGAAATACTAGTATAATACCAGAGCAGATTACCAACAGGAGTGACAATATAATATATAACAAGCTTGTGGGAGAGATTTCTTACTTCGTAGATGATTCTCTGAACCAGATCAAACTCTCCCTCCAGAGAAGAGTCCAGCAGCAGAGCCAGTGGGTTGAACTTGACTCTCATGTTGTGCTCGATACGTTCAGAACCAGGCTTGCGCAGATTGGTCCTCTTTCCCTAAAGACACAACCATAATAGTGTATCACATAAACGATCTCGAACAGCACAGAAAAGAAATATAAATCTCAGAGAGAAGAGACGTCCACTTGCTCTTGCCCTCAGTGTGGGCTTAAAGCAAATGTGGGACTTGTGCTTCCAGCAAGCTAATCCAGTTTATGAACACAAGCTGAAAAAAACTAATTAATTCCTCCAACACCACGATTATGCAACCCGATATGGAAAAAAAGGTTCTTTAGCTTTCAAATTGAGGTGACAAAAGGAGGGGACTGGGGTGGAAAATGGGTCATAACACTGATTTCTCAGTGTTAAAACCTGCTACTTTAAGATCAAAACCGCTTAAGGAGTTAAGCAACAAGAAAAAGTAAACTGGTGTTTATTTTTAAGAGAATGTGTAAACTGTGCAAAGCGGGGTGGATATCGGCTTAAAGAGAGCAGAATGAAGCCTATTTTCTCCTGAAACAATAGCAGTACTTGATGGTGATTATTCAATTACATAACACCAGAGCAGGTCACTGCTGTTCAGCAGGGCCAAGTGTAACTCATGATGTGCCCCTAACAAACATGTGAGAGGACTTACAAAATGCACGCAGCACAAATACAAACACAGGTAGTGTCTCCTGTGGACTGCAATGACTAGTTCTTCTTTCAAAAACAAATAGCTAAAAGCCATGTTATAATTGAGATTCTACGGATTAAGATTCATACCGGTGGCAGAGTGACCTGTCCAGTGACCTCAGGTGCTTTCATGTTGAAGGTGTCCTCTCCAAAGCTGTCCTGCTCTGCTCCGCTGGGGTATGGAGGTGGTGGGTATGGGGGGAATTCTTCCAGGAAGCCTTCTGGAGGTGGAGGGGGCAAACTAGGTTCTGTGTCCTCCAGACCAGGAGGTGGTGGCGGTGGGAAAAGAGCATCATCTGGCCTTGGGGCTGGGTGGGATGGTGGAGGAGGGGGAATAATTTCCTCAGTCTCCGGGATGGCCGGTGGTGTGTAGGGCTGTTCAGTAAAGGCTGGAAGTGGAGTGTTGATACCTGTGGTCTGTGAGGGTTCCTGAGTTTGTCCTCTCTCTGATGGGTAGTTTTCAGTGCCAGTCGGAAGGCTTGAACCATGTGGTCCGGCTGATCCTTCCACCGCTTTCGCTGCTTCTCCAGTAAATGTGGTAGTGGCTGGTGTGTTCACAGTGGTCTCCATAGCTGCCAGGGTAGTTTTCTGATAAAGGAGTTTCTGAATGTTGGGCCCTGCCGGACCCTCTGGTTCAGTGATGGAGCTGCGTTTCTTCAAAGGCCGAGGGGCATTGTAGAGTTTCTTTCTCAGGGCTTCCAGGTCACCATCGCTCTGCCTGTAGGGGTTGGAAATGAAGGGAAGCAGCTTGGTAGGGCTGAGCGGCCGGGGGATGCGCTCTGTCTCTGGCTGCTGCCCCTCAGATGAGCTGGAGCCTGCGTTGTTGGTTCCATTGTTGTCAACTTCAGTTTCTGGGGAGCGACGCTCTAAGTATGGATTCTCTGGATGCGGGGAGCCTCCACTGGAGATCAGTGGTTTACCATACACTACAAACAAAAAACAGGAAACAAGTGTTTAAGACAGCGGGAGAAAAAAGAAAACAAGAAATTTTTTGGTGCATAGCTCTTTTTTGGACAAATTTCACCACTTCTCTCCCTTCTACTACTACTAACTTGATATTCAGAGGATGGAGCTTCTTTACAGCAGCCTTCACCATGTCACAGCATAATCATTATGCTTTCTATTATTACATTGCAATTCATAATAACAATGTATTTGATGATTTTTTTGTATTTTAATTCATTAATTACAACAAGTAGGGTTTTTCCCCCGTTTCGTCTTCCTCATTAAATGAATGGGCTATATTATTTTACAGAGTTAGTGTGGAATACAAAAAGATTCTCAGGACAGATTCAGGACTTTGATAAACTCCATTTTCATTTTTTATATGTGAATCCATCTACATCAACTGTGTATGCAAAGATGCTGAATGTATATTCTTACCACTGACAAATCCGTTGGTGCGGTTTTGAGCCCTGTTGAGAGAACCCTGCACAACAGGCAGGAAAGGCTTTCTTGAACCCGACTGCTGTGTGTACATGGAGTAAATGGAGCTGGCAGCTACGATTTGCGGTTTACTCAGGTTGGCTTCTTTGGAGGAGGGGAGGTCTGACGTGAAGGGCCGTACCGTGGCTGCAGGTGGAGTGTCCTGCTTGGAGGGTAGAGGGAGTGTCTGGCTCTGTGACGGTGGGTGAGGGCTGCGGCTCTGGGCGGTGTGGGGCTGCTGGCTGTGGGGCTTGGCTTTAGGGAAGGTGCCTGTGTTGAGGCCTGGTTTGCCATAGGGAACAATAACGGGGCCTTTCGGTTTGCTGGGGACAGGGGGAGGTACCTTGACTGGAGCTTTGGGAGCCGACTGATGGAAGTTGAGGAAAGAGAAAGATAGTAAATTAGCTAGGGTTATTTCTACAGGTATTAACAAATCATCCTAGTATTTTTTTTTTCTCATGATGATATAAAAAGTGTGTTTTCATTCCCCCTCACCTGAGCATCCCTGACAAGGTCATCACTGCTCTGGTTTTTGCGGAGGGAGGTAGCCGGAACCTCTGTTGGCTCAAACATGGAATATGGACGCACTTTCCTGTCCCTCTTCAATTCTGAATCATCTAGCCACAAAACACATGGAGAAGATGATGAAGAAATTAGTTTCAACACAGTTTGAGATAAAAAAAAAAAAAAAGGAAATTTTTTTTTTCGTTTTATAGGAACAGGAAGGGATTATTTCTGCACGTGTGCAGTATGTGCCTGTGTCTTTACCTTGGTCTGTGTTATAACTGGAGTGAGAGTTCATTCGTGGCAGTGTTGAAGCAGAACCATGACCATTGATGTTGGGCTCTGGACCTGAAGAACTCCACTCTGGCAGTTTCCCTGGCTGAAGGCCTGGTGAGCCAGCAGAAGAGGACAGAGAAGATAAAGTATAAAATGAGATGCAATGGGTTTTTAAAGAAATAATGAACTAAAGCATCAACACAGAAATTCATTCATTATAAACACAAAGTTCATAGAGCTTTGTGTTGTGCAGTGTCATACATAACAAACCTTCTTTGAAAAACAACAACAGATTTTGTGGCATTTTGCATTGCTCTTCATTTGCTCATTCGCTTGCATGTCTGCAGAAATCTCTGGTCAGATAAGCCACAAAAGCATGGAGGGGTATCTTACAACTAGCAAAAGTAGCAACACATAGCAAAACCATGACTTCCGTCACAGTGTCTACACACTTTAGTTAAATGGTCCATCTGAAGAAGGGCTGTACAAATACACCAACAGCCCCATATATTTTTCTAGACCAGTCCAGACCAGATTGGGTTGGTCACAGTCCACCCAGGATGTCAGTTCAAGTGAAGGTTATGTGTTTGTTCCAACTGACCCATTTAGAGCTGCAGAGAAAGAACTGAGGAGGAAACTCAACAAGCACGCTTTAACAAACAGCAGCAAAACAAGCAAACGGGATCAACGATCCAGCAAGGAAATGATAAAAAAAAAACAAAAAAAACCTCATTTTTGGTGAAGATAACAGTCATGAAAAATGAAAACATCTAAGCAAAGATATTGGGAAGCGCATACGTGCACACACACACACACAACACAAGTGTGTACCTTTTCTTTTAGCCCGCAGCTCTTTCAGAGGCTTAAGCAAGAACATGGCTTCTGAGGAAGATGCATTCGAAAGATAAAAAAACAAAAAACAAAGTAGCCTTAAAGCTCCAGATCTCCTCTGGTTCTAAACATGATTTTGGATGGGCCCAGCCTGGGCCCCCCAAGGGGCCATGCAGACCACAGCACAACCCCCAGGAGCCTGCCTGTTACTGTGCACAACATCCCTGATAGAGAGGAAATGGGAATGGGTGTATAGAAAGAGCAGATCCTTCTCATCCCCGCCCATCCCTATCTCTCTTCTTTCCATACTGCAAATCAACTCAGCATGCAGAAATAATTGCATGCAACAACACAACAGACTGGAGAGATGCCTGTTCCATTCACTTTTGGTATGTGAAATTGCTTTAAATAGGAAAACATGAGATGACGATTTCTTTTGTTGTTGTTTTGTAATGACTAATTTTGGTGTTGGATCATTCATTTTTAATAACCTGAAGCATACTGCTGGCACAAAGTCTTACTGACGGACCAATTTTAGGATGAGAGAGTAACTCTCTCATCCCACAAGATAGAGAGATGAAGCACATAAGAAGGAATTACAGTGTGGAGGATGGTAGAAAGAACAATATGTTGCTCTGGTCTCTCATTGGTTGGATCACACTTTCACTTCCATTACATAGAACATACCTTAGTGCTGTCCCCAGTTTACCATGTAACAAGATGTGAAACATATTGATTTAAAGCAGCACAGGAGCAACTACATTAGGGACAAATTTGCAGCCTTATTGAAATAAAGGCAAGTAGCATTGTTTGGAGTTTTAATTTCTTATGGTATAAATTATTTTCTGTATAGCTGTTTCTGAATCTATATTAAGAAAGGCATGCGAGACACACACTTTGGCAAAACAAAAACTCAAACTACTTTACTCAAAACCTAAAAAAGTGTTTTAAAAAAAAAAAAACATCCCTAAAAAACAAAAGACTGTGAAGCTCAGGCTAAGATAATGCTAGATCACAGCACAGCACCCAGGAAGTAACTAGCTACCTTCTGAGCTCAAAAAGACATCACAACCAGCAGGTGTCCCAGACTCCTTTGCTCCTGCTGTAAATGGTAAATGGTTAATGAACTGCTCTTTATACAGCACTTTTCTACTCCTTTACTGAGGAGTGAAAAGACCTTTACCTATCATCATGCTGAAATTAACAAAACGTATTTAACTGAAAAAACAAAAACAAAACAAAAAAAACAAGAAACATAATTTAGCTGGTGATGTAAAGATGACAGCCTGATATTTGAGTCAAAATCAGAAAAGGAAAAACTTTTAAGAGCAGACTGTGCAGTCTGGGTGCTCACCTGTCCCCGCTTTGCTCTGTGGCTCGTGGGCTGGGAGGGTGGCAGTGCCGTCTGGGTAGGCAGGTTTTACAAGCAAATCGTGTCTCGCTGGGCCCCTCGGCATAGTGGA